CCAGAGTTGTTTGGTTTTCTTCTCTCAATACAAAATAAATTAGTCTTTTTGTGTTTCTAAATTATTAAGTTTGAAGTGTTTTTCTAAGTATAATTTTATCAATGCCTTACGTATGAAAATAAATAATTTTCTTATATGAAGTTAGGGCACTTTTTTGGGTGTCGCCCCGGGCCTCAAAAATCTCTGGACCAGCCCTGCTCATCAACATATATCAACAATGCAGGGAATGATGTTCCTTTCTTCCATGTACAAATATTTAGTATATTATTATAATACTTGTCACTACAAACACGTGGGCGCAAGAGGAACAAGATTTGGACATAAAATAAGGTTTTTACGGGACTTTGAATTCAAGGGTATTTTCATAAATTCGTCCCGTCTTCGGAGAACTTTATTGGTTGTTTAGAGTTAGTGGGAACCAGGGGGTATTTTCTTCTCCCTTCCTTTCCCCCGTGCCTTTTTGGGGATGAGACTCTCACTCTCTCTTGGTTATTCCTCCACCGACACACAACACCAATACCACCATGATTTCAAAATCATCGACAAACTGAGTTTCTAAAATCACCATCATCTTCCTCTTGCAACCACAGGTTCAACAATAGTTTCCATTTCTTGAACTTCAAAGTTTGGACACCGTTGCACAGATCTCCGTCATGGGCTTTTTTCCTGGTGGAGATAAGGCTTAAAACAATTTTCTTTGTGTTCATCTCGTCGAGTACATAAATTTTCATTTATGGATTGCATGGTTTGGTTGAGAATCGAGTGAGAATGAAGCCGAGAATATTCAGATAATTTTTTGGCAAAATTTGCAGAATTCGATGAGTTTTCCGGTGGCTCGAGTCCTCTTCGCCGGTTCAACTCTGCTCGCGTCAACGTTGACTGTTGATTTATTTTTTTTTTGGCTGGGACCCCCAGATGTTATTTCGATGCGCTGAATCCAAATCCATACTCCATTTCTTCAAATTTGGTCACTTGAGCACCGTTCCATGATTAATCGCCACTTGAATTTGTAATGGGCGGAGATTCGACCGTTAGATCGTTATGAAATTGTAATGTGTTATTTTAGAAGTAATGTGTTGACCTTAGAAACTCATAGATCGGAAATTTGATGTGCGGATCTTTCAGAATGAGAATAATTAGGGTGATTGACTTTAACAAAAACCATTTTATTAAGGGTTGACTTAGGGCCAACATGTTTGAATAATTCTCGAATATTGAAGTTAGTATCACTAGAGGTCTGATAGACTTAGCGGTCAAAATCTTCCCATCGTCACTCTATTTTGTATTTAAGTGAGACATTCATTTCTGCTAAGGATGATATTCAAATGTTTAAGAAGTATATGTTGAAAATTTTCGTATAAAGGAATAACTATGATTGACTTGATCCTTTCACAGAATACGTAGGCAATCTAACTTGAAAGTCTTAAGATTAAATAAACATTAAATATTTCATTCGTCTCGAAATTTAGAATGAGACATTATTGTGTCTCGGTCTAGATACAAACTTTACTAAATTTTTCATGTGAGTGATTGGAATTTTTTCTTGATGTGTCAGCAGTTTCAAATATTAAGCGGGCTTAGGTAAATATGATTTTAGTTACGTTTATGGGGAAATAGATTTTTTTAATTAGAATTAGACCTTATATAGTATATGATCGTATAATTCAGCTTACACGTGTATGACATATATACTTAGCTTGTCTACAAACATGATATCCAACTTACACATGTATGATATATCCTTAACTTGTTTGCGAACATGATATGTAGTTTACACGTGAATGATATATATTTAGCTTGTCTACGGGCATGGTATTCAACTTACATGTATATGGTTATATTATTTAGCTTGTCTACGAATGTGGTATTCAACTTACATCTATATGGTTATATATTTAGCAAGTCTACAAACTTGGTATTCAGTTTATACGTGTATGGTTATATATTTAGCTTGTCTACGAACATGGTATTCAACTTACACGTATATGGTTATATTAATTATCCAGCTTGTCCATAATACAGACATGGTATTCAATTTACAAGGGTATGATATACTCTCATCTTGCCATTACTGTGGAGCCAAAAATATTCACAGGGCGACACGTGGATTTTTGGACAAAAATGACAAAAATACCCTTGCAGTACAACGAGGTTTCTACGCGCAAGCAGCGGGCAACCCTCTTTCAACCAAGACAGAAGTGCCCAAAATAGGTAACAATTCAAAGTCCATCTCATCAAATCCTTTCTACAAGGTAATTCCCAAACACATTCCTTTTAAATTATGTTAATTGGCTAATTAATGGGTTTATTGCCTAATTAACCCATTAATTGTCAATTAAACCATCCATTATATCCAAATAACTACAAAATACATCCAATTCAACCCTAAAACACCACATGGCCGGCTATCCCCATTTCAAAACCTAATCCATCACTTTTTTCTACCTTTTTCACCATTTCTTCCTTTTTATTACCCAATAAATTCAAAAACCACCAAAACATTCATCTTATGTTTAATAGCCAAATAAATTGGCTAATTAAACCTAAATTAAACCTAAAAACCCTAGCCACCTCCTATCCCTATAAATATACTCCCATTCTCACCAAAAAGCTAATTCCAACACTTTGGCAAAAATCCCAAAATTCTCTAAACACTATTTCTCTCTAAATTCTAACTTTGGCATCGGAGGTTCTTCGGCCAAAGCCCCCCCATTCATCGTGGGCGCGTGAGGCTCTTGGCCTTAACCTAAGGTGTTAATTGTTTTGTAGGTGCAAAATCGTCCAAGATCGAGGAGGAAGAAATTTGCATCCACAATTACGTCGATATTACTTCGTAATGACATGGTTATATAATGATATTCTCATTTGACATTACCTCGAGATTAGGCGATAATGATATAATTACACAATTATATTCTCAATTTGTCATTGCCTAAAGATTACTCGGCAATGACATGATTATATTATCCAGCTTCCGCTATTTACAGTTAGTTGATAATATTGTATGCCATCCACTGGTGAGTATCAGTTCTCTATATATGTATATATCATCTCTTAGTGCATACATGATTCAGTAGACGTAGCAGTCCTCATATTTGGCGTTGAAGCCTCTTCCCAAAGCTCTGAGTCTCTAATACATTCTTTCTATGTTATCTACTTAGCTTTACTAGTAAAACTCGTGTTTTGACAATTATGCTCTGAACATATTACGAGGCATGTAATAGAAGGTCAGATAACCATTAAATGTGGCCCTTCTGGGTATGTGGATATAAATATGATTACTTGCATGTGTTTTAATTTGGGTTTATCCCTATTTTATGGGAAGTTTTGCCGAATTTTCGGTAAATTATATTAGTTGATATTTTTAGTTATGACTTCATGCCTATTATGGCTTTATCACCCATCTGAGTGATGGCCAGCACACCTTGATTTTGGTGGTGCCTACTATACATCAAGTTGTGGTGTGTCACCTAAGCCCACAATGCCCTACTTCCTTTCTTTGCTTCCAAGAATGAGGTGTTTAGGAAAATTTCTATATTTAAGGACTCTGGCCTATAAGCAGTCTGGTTTATGAATGAGACACCAACATGGCTTCGCAATTAAAGCTAGATTAAACTCCTGTAAGCTTCTAAAACCCAACCCATCTTACTGTTTTGGCAATCCCAGGTATTCCTAACTCACCAATGCATTCTCCTTTCCTCATTTCTTTAACCCCAAAAAAGTTTTGCTAACATGGAATCAAAATCTCTACAAATCGACAATAGGAATTTGACCTGGTACTGCCTGAGCCACCACTTTGATAAAAACTTATATGCCCGCTTATGAAAGCAAATTTCGTAACCCTGAAATTTCCTCATTAAATTTTCTTTAACATATGTCAAAGCTTCTCGCTTTGACCTCCCCCAAATTGTCGGCATATCGAGATAGTTCCCTGAGTCTTCAACCCTTGGCATCCCCAAAACTTCACATAATTCTTCACCAAGGTCATTAGAATTGTTTGCATTGAAATAAACGCTGGATTTCTGTAAATTCACCTTCTGTCCCGATACTGAACAATATGCATATAGCAACTTGATAAAATTCTTGTAGTTCTATTGAGTAGCTTGTAAGAAAATGAAAGTGTCATCTATAAAAAGAAAGGGATAAAGACTTGGCCCATGAGAGTTGATTCGAATTCTTTGGACATAAATCCATCTCAATGGTTTTGTGTGAATCAACAAAGATAAAACTTCACTAACAAATAAGACGAGATACGGTTGACGGTTGACAGTGATCCCCTTACGCAACTCCCGAGATGGTTGAAATTTGCGACTCGACTGCCCAATAATAATAATAACAAAGCAAAGTCCACTAATCTAACACATTTCACCATTTCACCAACAATTAATTCAAAATATGTGAAAACCCATCCTTACAACCACAACCTTTAAAAAAAATCTCACTCGATTCAATTATACGCCTTACTCATATCCAATTTGATCCCCAAGTCCAATTTTCTTCTTGTTTTCCTTAATTTGAGAAAATGGAAAACTTTGTGAGCAATGAGAATATTATCCTAAATTTGTTGTCCAGTTACAAAAGCAATTTTCATTAGAGAAATCAAATCATGTAACAAAGGCCTAAGTCAATTGGCAAGAACTTTAGATAACACCTTGTATGAGTAGTTTGCAACGACTGATTTGCCTGGACTGATCAACCTCTTATGGATTATGAATTTCTGGTACCAATACTATGAGTGGAATTAACTTTCTTGGGGTTGGACGCTCCGTTTATAAACTCCTAAGTCATTCCTCAAACTTCCTTAGAAATAATAACCCAATAAGATTGATAAAACATTTATTGAAAACCATCGAACCATGGTGCCTTTAAGCCTCCCATTTGAAAGATTGTCTCCTTAATCTCTTTGACCTGTAATCTAGCATAGGAGAATATAGTTCATCTCAGTTCTACCAGACAGCTCAATGCATTCAAAAATTACTCCCCAGTCCCGAGGCCCTTTAATAGTAAAAAGGCTGGTGATGTGATCTTCCACAATACCTTTAGGGTGTGTTTGTTGCACTGGACTATCTTGGATTGGACTAACTTTAAAGACTAAGCTGGACTAGCTTAGAATAGACGAAGCTGGACTGATTTAGTGAAACGTTTGGTGCGGTGTCGGACTAAAAAACTGAACTATAATATTATATTATTTAATCTATATCTATTAAATTTTATTTTAATTTAATCAATATCAATTAGTATTTTATTATTTCTTTATCATTTTCCAATTTGTTTTAGAGTCATCTTCTTCTTTAATCTCTATACCTCTATTTTTTTTTTCTCATTTTTTACTCAGCCCATTGTCTCCCTCCATTCTTCCTTTTTCCTCCCTTTTGTACTCCACCCACTGTTTCCTCCTTCCCTTCCCTTTTTTTGCCATTTCACATATGTTCCACTGTCCCCTCCACTCTCCCCCTTTGTAATCATTTTGTTTCACCTCAAAGGAAACGCTTGGCATAGAACATGGAGCTATGGGGTAGCGGAGGAATCTCAAATTGCGAACATAGTTCTTGGATCCTAAGTTCTTTAGGTAGAGTCTGTTATCTCTGTTTTTTGGGTCTAATTCCAATTTAATCGACTAAAATGGAGAACCCATTTCTGCATATCGATCAAGTGTTCTTTTGTCGGTTCGTCGGGAAATCTGGGTTGTGGGTTCGTCGGTATATCTGGGTAATGGGCTTGTCGAGAAGCAAATAGGGGGTTAGGTTCACAGGACGATGGAGATTGGCAAAAAGGCTGGATTTTGGTGACTGGGTTCGCGGGACGTTGGTGCTAGGGACGAGATTAACAATCCCGTAGTTTTTGGGGGGCTTAGCTAAGATCAGCTAGCGAAGGACTTAGTCGGCATGAGTCCGACTTAGTCTCATTAAACTCAATCCCTTTTCGCACCAAACAC